TGGAATCTACTCCTGGTGAAGATGCTGTGAAGATCGTTGAGATGACAACAAAGGATTTAGAATATGACATAAACTTAGTTGATAAAGCAGCAGCAGGGTTTGAGAGGACTGACTCCAATTTTGAAAGAAGTTGTACTGTGGATAAAATGCTATCAAATAGCATCGCATGCTACAGAGAAGTCGTTCGTGAAAGGAAGAGTCAATCGATGGGGCAAATTTCATTGTTTTATTTTAAGAAATTGCCACAGCCACCCCAACCTTCAGCAACCACCACCCTGATCAGTCAGCAGCCACCAACATCAAGCCAAGACCTTTCACCAGCAAAAAGATTATGACTTGCTGAAGGCTCAGATAATGGCTGGCATTTTTTAGCAATAAAGCATTTTTTAATTAAGATATGTATATTGTTTTCTTAGACATAATACTACTGCACATTTCACAGACTACAGTATAGTGTAAATGTAACTTTTATATGCACTGGGAAATCAAAAAATTTGTATGATTCGTTTTATTGTGATATTCGCTTTACTGCAGTGATCTGGAACTGAGCCCGCAGTATGTCCAAGGTGTGCCCGTATTTCATTGTTTTGATACACCACTATTTGTTTACCCATTCTCCTGTTAATGGGTATTGAGTTGTTTCCAGTTTTTAGTTACTAGCTGGGTTCTAGGGTAGGTGTATGATTAGCTTTATGAGAAACTGCCAGACAGATATGCCAAATACCATTTTATACTCCCACCATCAATGTATAAAAATTCCAATTGCTCCACATTCTTGCCAATATTCGGTATTGTGTTTTAGTCTTTTAATGCTTTCCATTATACTGAGAGTGAAATGTATAGTGTTATCTCATTATGATTTTAATTTCCATTTTCCTAATGACTAATAATGTTGAACATGTTTTCATGTGCTTATTGGCTATTTGTATATCTTGTTTTGTGAAAAGGTCCTTCAAATATTTTGCCCATTTGAAAAACTGGGTTATCTGTCTTTTTACTATTGAGTTGGAGGAGTTGTTGATATACTCTAGATACCAGTCCTATGCACATATGTGTTTTGCAAATATTTTCTCCCAGTCTGTGGCTTACCTATTCATTTTTCAATAGTGTCTTTTGAAAAGCAGTTTTTTATTTTGATGAAATCTATTTTCTCAATTCTTTCTCAATTCTCTCAATTCTTTTATGGTTAGCACTTTCTGGGTCTTGACTAGGATTTTCTCCTAAGTTTACTTCAAGAAATTTTATGGTTGTAGCTTTCACATTTAGAGCTATGATGTATTTTGAATTAAGTTTTGTGTATGGTGTGAGGTATGGATCAAGATTCATTTTTCCACACATAGCCAGCTGTTCCAGCACCAATTGTTGAAAAGCTTTTCCTTTACCCATTGAATAGCTTTGATGCCTTAATTGAAAATGAATTAACTAGACAAGTATAGATATCTGTTTGGACTCTATTCTGTTCCAATGATCTATTTGTCTATTGCTATGTAAGTAACACACGGCCTTCACAGCTTCATGCTAAGTCATGAAATCACATAACAAAAGTCCTCCAACACTGTTCTTTCTACAGATTGCTTTGGCTATTCCAGATGCTTTGCAATTTCATAAATACTTTAGAATCAGATTTCCAATTTATACACAAAACTCTGCTGAGATTTTCACCGGGATTATGTTGAGTCCAAAGATCAATTTGGGAAGAAGTTACGTCTTAATATTAAGACTTCTATTCCTTGAACATGGTATATCCCTCCATTTATTTAGGTTTCTATTTCTCAATACTATTTATAGTTTTCAGTGTAAAGGGCTTGCACATGTTAAATTTATAGCTGTGTATTTTATAATGCTATTGTAAGTAGAATTTTTTTTTTTTTTAGCAGTGCTTTTATTTATTTATTTTTTTTGTGAGGAAGATCAGCCCTGAGCTAACATCCATGCTAATCCTCCTCTTTTTGCTGAGGAAGACCGGCTCTGAGCTAACATCTATTGCCAATCCTCCCACTTTTTTTTTTCTCCCAAAGCCCCAGTAGATAGTTGTATGTCATAGTTGCACATCCTTCTAGTGGCTGTATGTGGGACGCGCCCTCAGCATGGCCAGAGAAGCAGTGCATTGGTGTGGGCCCGGGATCCGAACCCGGGCGCCAGTAGCGGAGCGCACGCACTTAACTGCTAAGCCACGGGGCCAGCCCATGTAAGTAGAATTAAGTAGTTAGTATTTGGGTGTGAACATGATGTAATCTATGCAGAAATGGAAGTATAATGATGTACACCTGAAATTTATACAATGTTATAAACCAATGTTACTGCAATAAACAAAAAATTTAAAAAAAATTCATTTAAAAAATTTTGTATTTTCCAATTGTTTGTTGCTAGTATATGAAAATACAATTGAATTTTGTATAGATTTTATATTCTGTGACCTTGCTAAATTTACTTACTGGTTATAGTATCTTTTTTTGAAGACTCCTTAGAATTTTCTACACATATAATAATGCCACATGCAAATAAACACAATTTTACTTCTTCTTTTCTATTCTGCATGCCTTTATTTCTTTTTCTTGACTTACGACACTGGACTTCCAGTATAATATTAGAGAGACGTGTTTAGAATGGATATCCTTATCCTATCCTTGACTTTACAGAGAAAACATTCAATCTTTTACTATTAAGTATGTTGTTAGCAATAGGTTTTTTTAGATGCCCTTTATCTGATAAAAGTTTCCTTTTATTCCACTTGTTGAGCAGTTCTATTAAGACTGGATATTGAATATTGATAACGTGGTAAATCACATTGCAAACCAATCTTGTATTTCTAAAACAAATCCCATTTGGTCATGAATATTATCCTTCTAATATATTATTGCTCTCATTTGGTTTTATTTTATTAAAAGGTTTTGCATCTACTTTTAGGAGGGGTATCGGTCCCTAATTTTCTTTTCTTGTAATACTATTGTGTCCAGTTTGGGAATCTGGATTATGTTAGTCTAATAAAATATGCTGGGAAGTGATTTTCCCTCTTCCATTTCCTCAAAGTTCGTGTAAAATTGGTATTATTTCTTCCTCAAATGTTTGCTAGAATTCACAAGTAAAGCTATCTGAGCCTGGAATTTTCTCTGTGGGAAAGGTTTTAATTACTAATTAAATTTCTTTAAAAGATACAGGACAATTCAGATTTTTACATTTTTTTCTGTCAGTTTTGCTAAATTGTATCTTTAAAGAAATGTGTTCATTTCATCTAAGTTGTTGAATCTGTTGGCACAAAATTGTTCACAATATTCCTTAACTATCCTTTTAATATCTGTGGAATCTGTAGGATGTCTCCTCTTTCATTCCTAATATTGGCAATTTATGTGTTCTCTCCCTCTCTTCTTCTTTTTTTTTCCCCCTTTCTTGATCAGTCTTACTAGGATTTATCAATTTTATTAATCTTTTCAAAGAACCAACTTTTGGTTCCATTGATTTTTCTCTATTGTTTGTTCATTTCCATGGATTTCTGTTCCTATCTTTATTATTTCCTTTATTCCGTTTAGTTTGGGTTTAACTTGTTCTTGTTTTTCTAACTTCTTACAGTAGGAAGCTTAAATAATTTATTTTAAAACTTTTTCTTGTTTAGTATAAGCATCTAGAACCTTAAGTTTGCCTTTAAGCCCTGCTTTAGTTTCATCATATAGATTATGATATATTGTGTTTTTATTATCATTCCGATCAAAATATTTTCAAATTTCCCTTTAATTTCTTCTTTCATCCATGGGTTATTTAGAAGTATGTTATTTAATTGCAAAATATCTACAGATTTTCCAGGTATTTATTACAGATTTTTAATTTAATTGCATGTGGTCAGAGAACATTCTCTGTATGATTTTAACCCTTTTTCTTTCTTTCTTTTTTTTGCTGAGGAAGATTTTCCCTGAGCTAACATCCATCACCAATCTTCCTCTTTTTGCTTGAGGAAGGTTCACCCTGAGCTAACATCTGCTTCCAGTCTTCCTCTATTTCGTATGTGGGTCACCACTACAACATGGCTGCTAATGAGTTGTGCAGGTCTGTGCCCAGGAACCAAAACCAGGCCTCTGAAACAGAGCGTGCTGAACTTAACCACTAGGCCACGGTGCCAGCCCGATTTTAACCCTTATAAATTTACTGAGACATGTTTTCTGTCTCAGCAAATAATCTTGATGAACGTTCCTTATTGACTTAAAAAGAATGTGTATTCTGCAGTTGTTGGGTGCAGTGTTCTATAAATATTAATAAGATTGAATAGGTTTATAGTGTTATTCAAGTCTTTATCCTTACTGATTTTTTGTCTTCTTGTTCTACGAATTCCTCAGAGAGAAGTGTTGAAATTTTCAACTATAATTGTGGATTTGTCTTTCTCCTTTCAATTCTGACAGTTTTTGCTTTATGTATTTGAAGCTTTGCTATTAGGTGCATATACATTTAGGATTTTTATGTCTTCTTGATGAACTGACTTGATTTTTTAATCAGTATGAAATATCCTTTTTGATCTCTGGTAATACTCCTTGTTCTGAAGTCTACTTTGTCTAAGATTAGTAAAGCTACTCCAGCTTGCTTATAATTAGTGTACTTAGAAGTTCTGGTGCACATAACGAAGAAGAGAGTAGTTAAATTCTACTAACAAAACATAAGTGGTGATTAAAACCCATTGCTCATTAACTTTTATGAAATAATCTCTGATTAAGAATATGTCTGTAGGGGCCAGCCCTGTGGTTTAGCGGTTAAGTGCATGTGCTCCGCTACTGGCAGCCTGGGTTCAGATTCCGGGCATGCACCGACATACTGCTTGTCTGGCCAGGCTCAGGTGGCATCCCACATACAGCAATTAGAAAGATGTGCACTATGACACGCAACTGTCTACTGGGGCTTTGGGGAGAAAAAGAGAAAAAAAAGGAGGAGGATTGGCAATGGATGTTAGCTCAGGGCTGATCTTCCTCAAAAAAAAAAAAAAGAATATACGTGTATATATAACTATTTCATGCACTTACCTCATCAATGAAAGGTATTAGTACCACAGCTTCCCATTCCTGTTGTTTCCCATTTAGGTCAGTTTTAAAATCAGGTGGATAATATTCTATAATTGGCGAGTCTTCACTGGTCATCAAATGCTGTGAAAATATAAAATAGTGTAATAGAAATATAAGAACTAATATCAATATAGCTTTTTGTTAATATATTTATATTTCCTCACATTACAGTTTAAAATTTCTAAGCAAAGCAAAACTAAATATTTACATCTAGATATGTTACAACATACTGGCTATATTTTGATTTTCAACTATGAGACTTCTAATTTCACTGCTACTCATTACTTTCCCATTCCACTGACCTAAATGTAGCAAAACCATCCCTACTCTGAATTTTAATTTTATCATTTCTATCTTTTATCATCTTGTCACTCTACAAGGCCTACCTAAATTCTGTTTTCTCATTCGACTTTAGTTCATTTCACAGGCTTCTAACAGTCCTCCATTTTTAACCTTAAACAATTTACTTTTGTGTCCTAATCAACTGACTTTATGAATTAATATAAGAACTGCCATCTAAGAATTTAAAAAAAAATCCTAAAATTCAAGAATCTCTTCACGACTAATAGCAAAGATAAAAAGTCCAGTAAGACAAGTTTTTGTTAGAGATTTTATAACAGAGGTAGATAAAGCATAAAGACGTCTCTAGGAAATGAATATGGAAGATTGTAATATAAAGTTTTTTAAAGAAATAAAATAGCATATTTCTCAGGGTAATAGTCAAAATATTTAATAACCAGTACAGCATGGGCACAGAACAATCAAAACAGATGTGGCTGTAAAACACTTGTATGGTTTTACTGGTCCAGAGTGGTTGAATATAAATCCTTAATGTATCTGAAGGTAAGCAAAAAAGCACCAAAGAAACAAGAAGAAAGGGAGGCCAGAGGCCAGGATGAAGTTCAGGTTAATTTTCAGAACTTAACCTGAAGGGAGCCTGACATTGTTCAAGCAGCAAAGGGTGTGTGTGTGTGTGTCTACTTTAATTACTGGAACCAGACCATGAAATTAGAAGAACAGATTGATACTCTAGAGGAACTAAATGAAGTTTACCCTCAAAATCAGCTTAGTAGGCTCAGTGTAATTTTGGTGACCCAATCACCCCTGAAACATCCTCCTGTTATGTGAAATATGTTAACCAGAGAAAAGCCTTTCATTTCACAACGTGATAAATGAAATGCTTAAAACCCAAATATAAACTGAGGTAAACTTCTGTTCAGACAAATGACTTATTAGAACTATCCCTATTCTAATAGGTAGAGGGTAAAAGAAAATAGGAATGAAGCTATAAATGTTTGGATAAAGTAGAGGGCTTTAGATTTTGCCTGTCTCAGCTTACTTTCATTAGTGCAGAGACAAATTAGGCTTTAAGACGTGCTTAAAGATGCTGAAAATGAAGAAGCTACGCTCTGAATTGTTTATGGAGTTTGTTTGCTTTTTTAAAACAAAGCTAACTTTAAACCAAGGAATTACTTTCCAAGGGACTTTAAGAAATACTATGTTTAAAGTGAAAATAAATATATTTAGCTATTAAAGCAATTTGGGCACTATGTTTCTGGGTTTCTAATAGGAGCTCCTAAATATCAAAAAGGACAAAAACATTTAATTCTAAAACCCACCTGATAGCACGTAGGCAGTAAATTTTTGCTAGCTGCTGGAAGTACAGCAAGAAGCTGTTCAAATGGCTTAAAAGGTTTTCCTAGTTCAAAATGGAGGTTGAGTGTGCTGATGTTGCGGATATCAGATAGGAAAGGTGCATAATGGTAGGGATAATACCTATAAAACAAAACTGAGTTGTAAACAATTGGCAACTTTATGAAACAGGTCAATATTAAGTACATACTTTTCCATGTTTTATTTTAACAACACATAGCAATAATTCTCAAGAAAAAAAAATTATCACCCATAATTCTACCACTTCAATATAAGAAATCAGCAGTGCTGGAAAATTTAGGTCATGTGATGGCAACAAATGTCATATTTCCTTAATTTTTAATGTGCAGTTGCAATTTCCAAAATTGGGATGTATCGTGTAATTGACGGATATATATATAATATAATGGTTCTTTTAGTTTCCAAAATGTTGAGTGTGAATCTTCCAATCAATAGATTCTTGGAATGAAGTAATGAGGTAGTCAGAAGACGTTCAGTTAGGTCACGTGGGCCTGGGCCAGCCTCACAAGAACAGAGAGAACAGTGAGCCTGAGCTCACGTGGATTTACTAGTCAGCTCTAAGAACTTTTATCTTTGAATTAGTATATATATATAATCATGTTTGTGATAAGGATTAAGCCATTTATTAATCATACACACTATTTTTAATACCTTCCCATCTTTAACTACAGGTATAAATATTTTTACAAAGCTTCGAACAAACAATTTTTTAAAAATTTCAATGTTCTTATTATTTGACTCAGGATGCCAAAAAAAAAGAAGAAATATTTTTATATTCTAAAATTATGGCATATTTCAAAAGTATGGGAAAGTTAAGGAGGAAGAATGGCATGTGGAATAATGGAAACATATAGACTTTGGAATCAGATAGGCTTGGACTTGATTCTTGGGTGTATGATCGTGGAAAGATTACTTAACCTCTCTGATCTCCATCTATACAAGGCAAAAAAAACAATATTTACTTTAAATAGTTGTGAGGATTATATGAACACATGCTTTTCAAGTGCCTAGCCTTAATGCCTGGTAGTATAATAGGAATAACTTACACTCATCTTCTTAAAAAATGGCAAATCAAGGATTTTCATCATTAGAATGCTCTTCAGAGAGGCCCTGAGAATCAGGTTAGTTATTGCAAAGATTTTCTTAAAAGGCTATTTGTAAGTGAAATCATAATTAATACTACATTATCTTGCATTGCTTTGTTTTGCTGTGTGGTACTTTAAAACAAAGCCTGGCAGGGACGGCCCCGTGGCTTAGTGGTTAAGTGCGCACACTCTGCTGCTGGCGGCCCGGGTTCGGATTCTGGGCGCGCACTGACGCACTGCTTCTCCAGCCATGCTGAGGCCGCATCCCACATATAGCAACTAGAAGGATGTGCAGCTATGACATACAACTATCTACGGGGCAAAAGACAGTTGGGGGAAAAAAATACATACAAAAATTAAAAATTAAAAAAATAAAATAAAATAAAACAAAGCCTGGCAGAGGTGCACTGAAAACAAAACAAAACAAGCTACCGCGTCACCAAAAAGTCTCTACTTTTCCCTGCATCATTTTTTGGTTTGTTATTTTTCTATTTTTGCGGATGTTTTGGAAATGTAGATGGAACTTGCTGGAATAGGAAACATGAAAAAAATGGAGAATTATTACTATTTCCAGGAAAACCAAATAATTCTTTTCTCCTTTCTTCTTTACGTTTCCCACTCTAACATTCAAATAGCCCATTCTTCAATAATTACTCCTGATAGAAAAATTATTTTCAAACACACAAAAATGTAGAGAAGAATATAATGAACAACCCCACACAACCATCACTCAGACCCAATAATTATCAAGACTTTGTCACACTTGGTTTATCATGACAGAGAGTTTTAAATCCCTAGATTAACAAAGAGCTTTTATGGGGCCATCTGCTAGGGCTGGAAGTATTTTTGTTATATGAAGGTCTTTTTTAAGTATTTTCATATAAGAAGAGTTAATCGTATTTCATTTAAACTTGGCTGTATGCATCTTTTAAAAAAATACTACCATAAAGAGAAATGAAATGAAAAGATATCCTTAAATGAGATTATAGTAGAATGAACCATTATAAAAAAAACCAAAACTTTATTTTTGTTTTTATTCCCTCACCAGCTCCAGGACTGAACTCCATGATAGTAATAGTGCAAAATCCACTGTATTGCTTGAACATAACACGCAGCTTGATCAGCCAGAAAGTCACTGAAAATAGAAAAGAATATTTTCATTATAACAATATTTTTTGAAGACAAGCCATTGTCTTTAGAGCATGATCTCCACTGCTACCTCATTCTGCCTCTCATGTGTTTTATTTAATCCATGAATAAGCTAAAAATTGTAATCAAAAAAACTCCAAAATATTTTTTAAAAAATTCCATCCTGTCAGATTAAAGGTTTGTCTTATAGTCTTCCTAAATTGACCATCAAAATACTTAAACCTGCTGTGCATATTTATTCAGCCAATGTACTATGCCTTTGGTTTAACGTTTGAGGATTTAGCCAATTGAACTTTCTATAAAGTGGCACTACCACTCCCTCAAATAGTTAGGGTGGGATGGGAGAGAGAGATGGGAATCTTCTTTATCTGAGAGGATGCCTGACAGAATTACAAGAAATCAGAAAGATCTTAAAAGCTGGTTATAGGAGCTAGAACACACTTTGAAAAGTGCTATATGCACTGAGCAATATTCCCTTTAATCTCTTCTTTCTCAAAAACCATCATTAAAGGTAAAATAAATCTTCACCCAAAAAAAGGAAGAGTCCTAGGCTAAAGCCAAAAGTGGCTATAAACCTGTTAGTGTTTGTTACCAAAATTTAGGTAGAGATGCACTTAGAAATTCCAGATCTCCATATTTTTTTGGGAGGTATACTTTTGAAAATGAAATCCATCACTTTTTCATTATAAAAGAAATATTTCCTCACTATTGAAAATCTAGAAAATGAAGAAAAGCATTTCTATCACCTTGTAGCAATCACTCTTACATTTTGTTATGTTTCTTTTCAGTCATTTTTCTATGCCCAGATTTTTTTTTTAAACTGTTAATGAGAGTATGCTGTATATATGACTTTGTGTCTTGCTTTTAAAATTTGTACTTAGTAATACACTTAAAAGATACTTAAGTATCTTTCTAAATTGTTATGAACTTTCTATAAGTACCAGTTTAGCAGTTCTGCAGATTCTGGAGATGGTGGAGATGGCAGAGATGGTGACTGTAATGAGGAGGAGGTGCAGATGATTATGATGAACCTTCTTACTGGACACGTAGATTATTTCTAATTTTTTGCTATTATAAAAAACTTTGTAAGAAACACCCTTATATATAAGGATCTTCTGTGTTTGAGTTTATATTTTTAAGATAGATTAGCAATTAGAATTATTGGGTCAAAGGAATGAATATTTTACAGGGTTTTGGATATGTGCTTTCCAAAGTAATTTTACCAATTTATATTCCCACCAGTAATTAAGGGAAGAACTCTACCACCACTCCTGGACTAACACTGAACATAACAGTTTAAAAAGAGTTGCCCATTTGCTAGGCAAAAAAATGGTATCTCATTTTCATAATCTATATTTTAATATATAAAAGGGAAGGGAAATAAAACAGAAGACTAGTTACCTATCAAATTAAACATTTAGTGCCAACTGCAGGTACTCTAGTTCTATATAACTGTAATCAAGGAAATATAAGAACTAACGAATAAAGGATTAAAAGTGTAACTATTTTAAATATTGTATTTCTCAAGTCTCAAAAGTCCTACGTGCTAATGGTACCTGACAAAGCTTCAAATGAGCCGGTGAATTGTACAGAATTCCTATACCTCTAATTACTGGAGGTCAGTGTGAATATAGACCCTACCGAAAGACTATGTCTAGACTAGAAGACAGTCTGAGAGGATATAGAGCAATGTCTGAAAGCTTGGGTCTATCCCTGGGCAGACTCTAGAAAAGATCCAATACTTAGTGCTTTATTATATTAAAAAACAAAGTAAACATAATAGTGTAGAAAATATATAAGTATATGGCATGTAATAAAGGTACATAGCATTTCACGAAACTCGTATTTCACTTATAGAGAAACAGCCTCATCTAGTGATTAAGAGCAAGGACTCTGGAGCCAGATTGCCTATGTTCAAATCCTGGCTCTGCCACTCACTACCTATGTCACCTTCAGCAAATCACTTAAACCTCTCTATTCCTTATTTTCTTCTATCGTAAAATAATAATAATTCTACTCATCCTAAAGAATTGCTGTGAGAATTAAATGATATTTTAAATAATTAAATAATATTTTAAAAATGCTTGGCATAGTGCCTGGCACTCAGTAAGTACTTTATAAGTGCTTGTTAATTAAAATAAATAAAATACGAACATACGTAATTCACACTGTGGGCTGCAGTTTAAAAGTGTGAAAGCCACCATTCTAGAGGTCAAGTTCTTAACGAACTTTTGGATTAGGTATTAACCTGGGGCTAAGCCAGACAGCCTTTGAGATAAGTGTGTTGCGACCTTTTTAAAACAGGAAGCAAAAATCTAACCATTTTCTATTTGGCAATTTTTATTACAGTAATATAACACGTTAGTTAACATTACCTTCTCCAAAACCATACTAGTTGAAAGATCTACAATAATTTATGAAATCAAAAAATCTCTCTCCCACTACATTAACTATCAAAATTATGCTGTTTTCTGAAGAACTGCAAAATCTAATGTTTTCTACTTTAAAGTAAAAGCATTGGCAAAAACGTACTCAGACACTATATCAACTCCCATCTTTGTCATGTAATATGTTCTTTTATATTGTCTAAACTCGGTTTCAAATAGGTCATCGTCTTCAGTCTCATCTTCTAAATTATCTGGAAAAAAAGCCAGAAAGATAGCAGCTGACAATTATGAATATTCTGTTTTTCTACCTAATGCTTTGAGAAATACATATCAAAGCAAATGTTTATAAATGATCATAGAAATCTGTTCCATCCAATATTACTGAAGTAGTACTAACAAAGGAAAGCTATAACAACTATTCTGTCAAAAAAAAACATATATTAAAATACATAGTTTGTACTCACCCTTAGAAGTAACCACTTCTTCTTCATTTTTGTCTAAAGCAGCCCAACATATGGAGTTTTCCTGCTCCTATAAAAATTATAAAACAATAAAAAATTAATGGCAAGATATATTTCAAAGTGAGACATTTAACAGGGAGATTTAAAAAATACTAAAAATAACTGAATGATCCTTAAGTGACACATTGTAAAGTTTATTTTAAAAATAATCCTGAAATACTGTGTAAAGGTTTTTGGTTTTATATTAGCTGTTTTCTAAGGCTATAAATCTTTATTACGTAGAACTTAACATTCAGGTCTCTCAAAGATATGTAATAAGTAATTCTCACCAATATAAAAGAGAAATATATTTAATTCTATATGTGTTCCAAGAAAAAATACTTCAGGAATATTTCATTGACTTAGAGAAAAGTACACAATTAATATCAAATCCTTTCAACTTTAAATTTTTATATGTCAAATTCTGGGCTACTATTAATCACAATCTATTTGTTTTCGATTGAGTCAAATTATTACAAATATTGCCTATATTCTATATCTCTGGATCTCATCATTCTTATGACTCCGTGATCTACCCTCCACTTCTAAATTTTACTTCCATGCAACTCATTTGTTTTTCTATAGTTCTTGCATCTCGTCACATCCTTAGTAGCCCGCCCATCTGTTTTTCCTCCCCTATGATCTCAGCCTCTCTCTCTTCTATTTTCTGATTGCTTCTCTACCGCCAGTGACTCTCATTAGTTCTTCCTCCTCCCGTATCGCCATTTCCTCTTCTTCATCCAACCAGGGCATCTGCCAACTTTGTGTGCCTGGGCTGTTCCTCCAGCTCCTCTCATTTTATCAGTATCTCTAATGTTAACCACAGATACCTGGAAGATTTATGAGGCTTAAGGACTGAGCTGAGGTGGGTGGAACCAGGGATTATTGACATGTAAGTTTTGTGAGTACAGGTTCCCAAAAAGCTGCAGAGCCTGTTTTCTTAAGAGAAAAAACACAGAGTAGAATGCAGACCGACTGCTGCTAAGTTTTACTGAGGGAAAGCTAAGCAATTAGAAGGACTGCGCTAGAGAAAATGAGGATAGTTGTCCTTCCTGGAGCAAGAGTTATTAGGCAATAGAACTGGTATAGCAAGGAGAGTACAAGAACTCATCAATTTCACCAGAATCCAATAATTATGGATAGGCTGAGGAAAATTTCAGAAGAGGTTTCTTTTCCAAGATAACATATATAAGACATTCTTTGGAGCTTATTAGAGATGCTTTACAGGGTACTAACACATTCTTATTGATTCTATTATTCATTTATTGAGCACCTAACATTTACTAGATATTGTGCTATTAATTACTCTTAACTTAGCAAATTGCTATCTTTTATTTATTTATTTATTTATTTTATTTTTTTTGGTGAGGGAGATTGGCCCTGAGCTAACATCTGTTGCCAATCTTTCTCTTGTTGCTTGAGGAAAATTGTCCCTGAGCTAACATCTGTGCCAATCTTCCTCTATTTTGTACGTGGGTCGCTGCCACAGCATGGCTTGACAAGTGGCGTGTAGGTCCACACCAGGGATCTGAACCCACAAACCCCAGGCTGCCGAAGTGGACTGTGCAAACCCAACCACTAACGCCACTGGGATGGCCCCTCGCTGTCTTTTATATATGATTTTATATATAAACTATTTCTAGAGAAAAATTACTGATCTAGTTAATGTTTCATAACATTAAATGCTATAAATATCCACATTTTAAAAAAGATAATTAGGGGCCAGCCCCGTGGCTTGGTGGTTGGGTGTGCGCGCTCCGCTACTGGCGGCCCGGCTTCAGATCCTGGGCGTGCACCTACACACGGCTTCTCCAGCCATGCTGAGGCGGCATTCCACATACAGCAACTAGAAGGATGTGCAGCTAGGACATACAACTATCTACTGGGGCTTTGGGGAAAAAAAAAAAGGAGGAGGATTGGCAATAGATGTTAGCTCAGAGCTGGTCTTCCTCAGCAAAAGGAGGAGGATTGGCATGGATGTTAGTTCAGGGCTGATCTTCCTCACACACACAAAAAAAAGATAATTAATTTTCTGGGCTTTTATGTTTAGAAATGTTTTCTACACTTATTAATAGAATGGAAGAGCAAAAAAAACCACGATGTTCTTCAAGGGTAAAAATAAGAAATTGATTTTTTTTTTTTTTTAAAGAATTTATTTTATTCATTTTTTTCCCCCAAAGCTCCAGTAGATAGCTGTATGTCATAGGTTCACATCCTTCTAGTTGCTGCACGTGGGACTCGGCCTCGCGTTGGACGGAGAAGTGGTGCCTTGGGGCTTGCCCGGGATGCGAACCCGGGCCGCCAGCATCAGAGTGTGCGCACTTAACCGCTAAGCCATGGAGCTGGCCCAAAAATTGATTTTTAAAGATCAGATTTAAATGATAGTAAATGAGGGCCGGCCCCGTGGCTTGGTGGTTAAGTGCGCGTGCTCTGATGCTGGTGGCCCGGGTTCGGATCCCGGGTGCGCACCGACGCACCACTTCTCTGTCCATCCTGAGGCCGAGTCCCACATGCAGCAACTGGAAGGATGTGCAGCTATGACATACAACTATCTGCTGGGGCTTTGGGGGGGTAAATAAATAAAATAAAATCTTTAAAAAAAAAAATAAATAAATAAATGATAGTAAATGATAATAAACAAAAAAGAAACCAAAAGAATTTTTTTTTCCTTGGTGAAGATTAGCCCTGAGCTAACATCTGTTGCCAATCCTCCTCTTTTTGTTGAGGGATATTGGCTCTGGGCTAACATCCATGCCCATCTTCCTCTACTTTATATGTAGGACGCCTGCCACAGCATGGCTTGATAAGCGATGTGTAGGTTTGCGTCCGGGATCCGAACCTATGAACGTCGGGCTGCTGAAGCAGAGTGTGCGAACTTAACTGCTACGCCACCAGGCTGGCTCCCAAAACAATTTTTAAAAGGTCCATAGAGGGAAAGAAGAAATGAAAATGAAATCAGGCAACCTCAAAATCATAAGGAAGATGAGAAACAAGGAATATCAGTTTTACCTTTACAGCTAAAAATATGAAAGGACATCTAAAAAAAATGGACACCTTTGATTTTTTCTTTTCCTTGTAGTTCTTGGCTTCTTCTGCTGCAACACCTGCTGCTTCATTGAGGTACTTGTTACCAACTTTGCTTTCAAACCACTTTAGGTCCACAAAAACTTCACTGAAGTGCTCCCGATCAAACTGTAAAGAAATATTTAAATTCATTTAAAAATGATTTAAGTATGTCTGGAAGAATACAAACAAAACTTAACAGTGACTACTTCTGGGGTATAGGAAATTAGAGAATGCTGCTCTTTTATGCACATGGGGACCTCATCTACTACTCCGAAAATTAAAAATAAAAAGCAAATAAAAATAAAAATAATTTAGGTTAAATTACTTATACAGAATGACCAATTGGAGTAAAATTACAAAAACTTTTTCTTCTGTTATTATGTAATTGGTTACTGACCATTTATAGATACTCTGGGACAGAAAAACAAAAACCTCTAGTTACTTACATCTGACAGTTTCACAAGGTATTTCTCAAATCGAGGTAAGTTGAGATGCCCACTTTCATTAATATAACCTAAAAGGAACAAAATCTAAATTTGTACTAAAAGCTGACATTATTTTTTCTAAATAATTATACAAAATTCTTTTCACAAAATGTTGAACACGGACATTCTACTAATCAAAAAAACGAACAGTCAGTGTTGGGCTATATAACCGGCCCTAGTTTCTATGAACTTGATGTTACTCTAATACACAATATGTAAGAACCGAAGTAAAATATAAGAAATTCCAGGTTCATATAATAACAATCCTCCCACATTTCCAACAACATTTGATAACAGATAATTAAATATGTTTTAGAATCTATCCAGATCATCCATTTGATAACGTCCTGCTACTGTGTTGTCTTCAGTATCATCAGTTTGTCAACTTCCCATTTTAATTGAAAAATCTTTCCCGTATATTAAATACTCTAAATGCTTATCCATTTAGAAAAATTGAATTTATATGCTTAAATATGAAAGGAGCTAAGTGAAACCAACAACTTCTGCTGGCTTTCTTAAGTAATTAAAGGCAGAGATTACTTAGGTATCAATGAATGAGACTACTTAACTCTGGTCATTTTCTTTGCTTGTGAATCACTTACAATTTCAATCTCAGAGCTTGGTGCCTTAGACCAAAAGAAACTCCACGTATTTTCCTACTTTAGTTGTGCATGCAATAATCTAATAAACTGAGTGACATTTTTAGGGCTACTTGAGTGCTAAATTAAAGTAGCCTCAAATGAATAACAAACTTTTCTTACCCCCAAGTTCTGGCAGGATGGTAATATATGTTCCATAAAGAAGAGGCAGTGCATCATGATTAATATGTAAATGAGGTAGATGAGGGATAAAATCATTGCCAACAAGAAATCCCATCAAAATCCAATCATCTATTATCCTTTCAATATCATATTTAAATGTGATCTTGTCCTACAGCAAAACGGAGAAAAAAGTCAAATACTATGAAATTTCTGCATCCACATCTTTGGTCCTCGGCTATATTAATACTTACTTTTAATACTGAAAACTCATAGTCAATATACTCTCTCATTAATGACAAGTGTAGGAGGTGAAATGTGGTTTCTTCTGGTGCACATACCCTGTAAGTAGTCAGACCATCAACACAGTTAACTATATTTTTAAGGTTCGAGTTTAAAAATGTAGCAAAGCTTAAAATAAAACATCATTAGAAGATAATTAATTCTTGTAATCAAGGCATGTAACTTATATGACAGCTGCAGGGTAATGTAAAGATAAAAATATAATTGCAATTATAATAATTGGTTTACATTATGCTTTCCGTGGAAGAACTCTCAGAATTAAGAAAGTCTAAATAATACATAATAAATGTAAGACACCAGTGGGATCTGGTCCAATTAAGGCTGGCCACCAGCACAAAGCATACAGATAAGTGAGTATATACATTAAATCTATTGCAGTATAGTTCAAGGCTTCAGTGCGGAGGCACTATCACTTCTTCTTCTTAACTTTCCCTGGCTTGGTATAGGGGTCTATATTCCTGGCTGCTGGCCCATACTCCAAGTTTAACTATAAGTAAAAATATAAGATGACAATAGCATATTAAAAGGATTATACACCACAAGCAAGTGGGATTTATCCCGGGGATGCAAACATTGTTCAACATAAAAAAAATAAATTAATGTAATACACATTAATAAACAAAGGAAAAAACACCACATAATCATTTAGCAGGAATAACATTTATCAAAATTCAATACCCTTTCATAATCTAAATACTCAGCAACGTAGGAATAGAACGGAACTTCCTTAATATGATGAAGGGAATTTATGAAAAACCCACAGCTAACATCATACTCAACGGTGAAAGACTGAAAGCTTTCCTTCTAAGATCAGGAACAAGACAAGGATGCCCACTTTCACTATAGCTATTCAGCAATATACTGGAAGTGCTAGCTGGGGCAATAAGGGAAGAAAAGAAGAAGTAAATCTATCTCTATTCACAGATGTCATGATTCTATATAGCTAGAAAATGCCATAAAATCCCCCAAAAAGCTACTAGAGCTAAAAATGAATTCAGCATAGCTGCAGATATAAGATCAACACATAAAAACCAGTTATTTTTCTAAACACTAGCAATAAATAATCCAAAAGGAAATTAAGAAACAGTTCCATTTACGATACCATCCAAAAGAATAAAACACCTAGGAATAAACTTGACCAAGGAGGCTAATGAAAAAAACCAGAAGCAAAAAACCAAACTCATAGATACAGAGAACAGACTGATATTTCCCAGAGGTGGGGAGTAGAGAGTGGGCGAAATGGGTGAAGGTGATCAAAAATATAAACTAGTTATAAGACAAACAAGTCCTGGGAATGTAATGTACAGCATGGTGACTATATTTATAAAAAATCTTTCTTGAAATAAAAGAAGAGAAAAAAAGGAAGCAAAAGACTTGTACACTGAAACTACAAAACCTTGCTGAAAGAAATTAAAGACGACATACATGAATGGAAAGACATCCTATGTTAATGGATTGGAAGACTTAATATCAAGATGTTAACACTACCCAAAGGGATCTATAGATTCAAAGTGATCCCTATCAAAATCCCAATGATGTTTTTTTCAAAAATAAAAAAAATCTGTCCTAAAAATTATTAATCTCAGAGACCCTGAAGAGCCAAAATAAATCTGAAAAAGAAGACCAAATTTGGAGGTCTTACCGTTCTTGATTCTAAAACTTATTTGATAAAGCTACAGTAATCAAAATACTGTGGTACTGGCATCAAGACAAACATACAGACCAATGGACTAGACTACAGAGCCCAGAAATAAACCTTTGCATATACAGTCAAGTGATTTTCGACCAGGGTGCCAAGACCATTCAATGGAGAAAAGACAGTCTTTTCAACAAATGGTGCTGGGAAAACTGGACACCCATGTGTAAAAGAGTGAAGTTAGACCCTTACCTCACACCATATACAAAAATTAACTCAACACGAATCAAAGACCTAATACTAAGTGCTAAAACTATAAAACTCTTAGAATAAAACGGGAAAAAGCTTTATGACACTGGATTTTGCAATGATTTCCTGGATATTACACTATAAGTACAGGCAACAAGAGAAAAAAATAGATAGATTGGACTTCACCACAATTAAAAATTTTGTAAAGCCAGCCTGGTGGCCTAGTGGTTAAGTTTGATGTGCTCTGTTTCGGCAGCCTGGGTTCAGTTCCTGGGCACGGACCTACACCACTTGTCAGCGGCCATGGTGTGGCAGTGACCCCCATACAAAAGAGAGGAAGACTGGCACAGATGTTACCTCAGGGCGAATCTTCCTCAAGCAAAGAGAGGAAGATTGGTGAGGGATGTTAGCTTAGGGCGAATCTTCCTCAGCACACACACGCACACACATGCACACACACACACACACACACACACAAAGAAAATCTGTGCACCAAATGATACTATCAACAGAGTGAAAAGGCAACTCATGAAATGGGAGAAAATATTTACCGATCATGTATGATTTACCTTTGTGTCTTTTTGCCACCAAACCGAACCTCTTCTCTTAAAAGAGAGAAATGTGCCTCGTGACTTGTTAATCCAAGCATAATCTGTTGAAAATTGATTAAGAAATGTTTCTACTTTCTTATTTTTTATAGCATCAGGTTCACAAAAGCAATTATATAAAAAAAATCTCTACATAAAGAAGAACATGCTTATTTAAGGAAAATAAAGAAACAATCTATTAGCACATTAAATATACAAATATCAAAATATGATCCACTTATAGGCTATAAATGGGGTACAGTGAGTGTACTTTTCTAAGAAAACAAAGTTTACCTTAGACTCACACGACCTTTATAACTGCCACCCTGCCCCTTCACAAAAAATCCCCAAAACCTTCTCTTGGTTTTCACACCTTTTCACTTGCCATGGGGGAAGGGGTAAGAAATTAGAGGCAGCAGCTTTTCCATGAAAGAAAAATGTAGGACTCTTCTGGAGGCCAGGATACCTCTAGTATGTGAAAACTCAAAACAAACTGGAAAGGGGCATTTTTCGTTAATTTTCTCACATAGTATTCTAATCCCCAAAGTGTGTCAAACAGTCTAGTGAGACATATCAACCAAATGTAATGATATTGTTTATTTTATTTCAATCCTGATTCAAACAAAACAAAATGAAACATTTATGAAATGACTGGGGAAACGAGAAATCTAAATGGTTATTCATATCTTAAATAGTGATTGTTAATGTTTGTTTTATGTGAGATAATGGCATTGTGGTTACATTTTTTTTTTTTTAAACCATCCTTTAGAGAAACATTACAAAATGATACAATGTCTGGGATATGCTTCAAGAATCCAGGGGGGTAGAAGAAAGGAGACAGACGGTTAGGGAGAGGAGTTGAAAATTAAGTTGGATGAAGGACACAAGGAGGTTCATTGTAGTATCTTCTCTACTTTTGTTTATGTTTGAAAATTTCCATAATAAAGAGTTACAGCAAAAAAAGTCTAGTAAAGTTATTTAGGTTGTGGAGTTATCAGATCAGGTGGTATTAAAAGTCATATATTCAGGGGCCGGCCCCGTGGCTTAGTGGTTAAGTGAGCGCGCTCCACTGCTGGCGACCCGGGTTCGGATCCTGGGCTCACACCGACGTGCTGCTTCTCCGGCCATGCTGAGGCCGCGTCCCACATACAGCAACTAGAAGGATGTGCAGCTATGACACACAACTATCTACTGGGGCTTTGGGGGGAAAAAATAAATAAATAAAATCTTTAAAAGTCATATATTCAGCATGAGGGTAAAAAGAGCCCTCTACCCTGACCTCAGCAGAGTATTCATAGCACTAAGGTCAGTCAGGTGTGAACACTAACGATAGAGACCTATGTTGATCATAAACTATGGTAAAAGAGCTCATTTTCCAATTGTTTTAGAACTTTGGTAATGGCAGAAGTAGCAATCATTACTATGTCTCCGACATTTGTTTCCATAGCCAGAAAGCTTCTTATATAAGACCAAGATATTTAACTACAATGGCATAAGGTTATAATAACAATAAGCATTATACCTACCAAGTCAGCATCTAAACCATAAAGACAGTGTCTGGTGTTTGGATCATGATCTGGCTTTGCTTTCTCGGATCTGATAAATTCCATGATTTTATGCTCTCCTTCTCCGGGAGTCTAAATATAATGTTTTTAAAAAATGTGGTAAAATACTATGCTTCAGACAGAATATTAAATTAAAAAAAAAAAACCTCTTTAAATAAAAAAGATAATAACCTCATGGCCTGAGAAGTAGATGGTAACTCCTTGCCACGACTTGTCTGTAGAAATTTTCATATTTACAAAATACTTCAGATGTTCATGTAACCTGGCCATGAATTCTGTCCCTATAAATAAAAAGGTTTCAAAAGTTTAACCTGAGAGAGACATAAAAACAGTGAGTTCCCAGTGACAACATGAAATTGGACCTGAGTGTCCAGGGAATAGCTAGGTAAAAGATTTCCAAAGGAGATCAAAAGCTCTCTTGCTTATCTTGAAAAGCAAGTAACGTTGCACCTTTCCCTAGCAAATACCACAACTGTCTCTAATTTCACTGGTCACCCTAAAATGAAGTTAATGTCAGATAAGGAAAGTCAAGGAATGTTATTACTGCCTCAGGACTATGCTTCAAATATTTTCACACAAGGGCAGAGTTTCAACTCTCTAATGAATCTCAATCTTCTATTTCCGCTGCTAGATTCTGAATTTTTTTTTAAGACATGCAGCTTCAATCAGATTGCCAATAATAACAACAACTACCGTTATTATTACTACTGTTAACCTGGAAAATTATTATTAATCTGGAAACTGAGTCTACAATGATTATGTTTTAGGAAAAGCCCAGATGGTAAAGAGTCAAAGGCAATACAGTCTTAAACCACAATCAGGATAAAACAGGTTATTAAATTGAGTAATGTGTGATTAGGGCACTTAATGAAAGAAAAAAATTACCATAGTTAGTAAAGACTTCACGAGAATGTAAGATTTTAAGATTTTTTTTTTTTAAAGTAAAGGACTATAACGATGTTAGACAAAGCTCTTTGAAGCACAGAGTATGGTGTTGTATATAAAATTAAACAAAATATTGATAAATTCATTTATCCTTAAAGTCACAGAAATCTTAACTGCCTTTGAGAAGAAGAGTAAGTGCTCTGAACTAGGAGAATGGGTTTCTTGTCCTGAACATAACAAGCTTTAAAATTTGGGTAAGCCACAACCTCACTGAGCCAGTTTTCATTCAAATAAATGGTGGGAGTAGGACGGATCTTGTAAGTTCTTTCTAGGTCTGGAATTCTGTGCCTCTGGGAGTCTAGAGCTACACTTAACAACATCTGTAAATCCCTACAGTGGGTCTTCATAGGAGCACTTATGATGGAGGTGACCAAATCATCTCATGAGACACAACTGGGAAAATATAGCAAATGGAATCCTAAGGACAAAATAAGTAGAGGCTAAAAAAGAAAAATGCATTTGAAAAAAAAATTTACATTTACATTTTAAATCTCTCAGAATTTTTCTCTCAGTGGATTTACCTGGTGTAATACAGTTAGAATCAAATCTGGCCTCTGTAGGAAGAGTTTCTCCTTTTTCTATTGCCTTTTTAATTTTGTCTTCTGCCTCCTTTGCTGACCTTAAATGTTAAGGGAAAAAAATATCTTAAAGTTTCTAGGAAAAAGTAGAGATCTTTAATAAAGTAATCTGTCATTTAGATACTTTTATAACTAAAATACTAATTCATCAATTTTAAGGCTCAAAACATAATACAAGTTTTGAAATGATTACAATTGATAAAGATGAGTCTCAGAATTGTTTTTATTTATTTAAAGAATTAAGTTTTTCAGATAAGGACTACAGAAGTAGAACATTATAACAGTATAAAACTGACATAGAACATTACAAATACTTATTATAACGTAATTGTTTTCTTGTCACAGTTATATAGCAAATTGATTCTGGAAACAAGCTTAAAAGTATAACACTAAATGTTCATTATATATACTACATTTAATAATAATATCAAACAAGAAGCGCATTATTAAAATGATCCCTAAGAATATTATATAAAAATAATTATAAAATTATAATGTATATCTTGGGGTTTTCTCATAAAAACACTTAAAATGAAAGCCTAATAAGATTAATGGCGTCAGTTGCTAAAATCATCTCATTTTTGAAGCAAGAGGATTTACTAGGAAGAACATGAGTTTTACAATCAGATGCACCTAAGTTTGAGTACAGGCACCCCAATTCCTGTCTGGCTTCTCCTATAACCCATCTGTGGCACACCAGTATGCCACATGGCATACAAGTTAGGAAGCTCTGCTTTATGTACATTTTCTACAGCCTTGCTACAAGCTCTAGCTACTATGCCTTGTGGAATTCTATTTCTGGGATAAACAAACTCTTCTTCACATTTAAACTCTCTCTCTTACCAACCTCTTCAATATAACTAAAACTCTGAAGATATCAACTCATTTGTAATCTCTCTAATGAAAGCCATTCTTTCCTCTTTTCTCCCCTTCCTTGTTTGATTGAACAAATGATTATTCAATGTCACTATGTGACCAGTTCTTGGGATATAACAAAAGAGAACTGATTCCTATTCTCACAAAGCTTACACTCTAGTGCAGAGATAGAAAAACAGCCATAATGCTTAATGTGGCTGCAGTATAGAGAATGTTTGTGACTGGGACAAGGTAGGACTATTAAAGTAATGGAGGTGGAAGATTATGGTGGCCTAGGTTGAGACAGAAGCAGTCAAGATGAAAAGTAAATAGATACGACAAATTTAAGAGACCAGATAAACAGGACTCGGATGTGGGGAATGAGGAAGAGAGAGATGTCCAAATTACTCCTGGACTTTTGAGTTGAGCAGCTATTTGCCTGGTGTTGCCATTCACTAAAACAGGAAATAGAAGGAAGGCAGTTTTGAGGCGGAGATGAGTTTGGTTCTGAACACATTAAGCCTAAACTGTATCTGTGGTATCCAAAAGGAGATATTTAGCAGGCATTTGGATATACAGAAGCTCTGGAGAGAGATATCCACGAGGAAGATAAATTTGGGAGTCATCAGTATAGATACAGTAATTAAAGTCATTGGTTAAGATCATCAGGACTCAGGATAGAGCCTTAAGAAACACCAATATTTGGGCCGGCCCTGTGGCTTGGTGGTTAAGTGCGCGCGCTGTGATGCTGGTGGCCCGGGTTCGGATCCCGGGTGCGCATTGAGGCACCACTTCTCCGTTCATCCTGAGGCCGAGTCCCACATACAGCAACTGGAAGGATGTGCAGACACACAACTATCCACTGGGGCTTTGGGGGGAAAAATAAAATAAATAAAATCTTTAAAAAAAAAGAAACACCAATATTTAAGAAAAAAGCAGAGGAAGAGAAGATAACAAGGAAATGAAGAAAGTGCAGCCAGAGAGAGTGTGGTCACATGAAGGTCAAGGAAAGGAAGTTCAAGAAAGAAGGAATGGTCAACACTGTTAAATACTGTAGATAAGTGAAGTGATATAAAGACAGAATTATTCTTTAGATTTAGCCATAAAGAGTCTATTTGTAATTCTGTAAGGAAGTTTCAGTGGCATGGTAGGGATGAAAGCCAGATGGTAGCAGATTTAAAAAGGAGTAAGAAATATACAAAGAATATGATTAAAGATTATGAATGGAGAAAACAGTCCCTGTGGAGAATGAGAAAAAGTTGACTGGGGGATTTCGGGGAAACATGGAACACTCAATGCCAGCACAGTATTTAGTAAAGGCTTGTAGTGGTTATGGTGGATTGGCCCTCAACACCCATTTCACACTCCTAGATTGTCTCCTGATAATGGAGAGGTTGGAAAGCTAAAAAATTAGACTCTCAGGCTTCCCCGCAGCTAGGTTTCTGGATGTGACTTAGATTTTGTCAGTTAGATGCCTCTATCAAAGGTCTGGAAAGCGGAACTGTGGTGAAGTCTGCATGACAGTTGAGGCACTGGGTTTGTGGGGTGTGTGTGTGTTTCATAAATAGTAAAAGCAATCTCAATCTTCAGTAGCTTTGTAGGTGCTGAGAAGCAAGGCGCAGAGCATCCGTTTTTTCCGGTACAGATCTAGCAGGTGCCCTGGGGCCCTAAGGTTAACAGATACAGTGGTGGCTTCTTGATTGCTGAATTGTAACTAAAGTAATGTATTCTTGGAGCCAACAGTTCAGGTGGTAGCTTCTTAATTCCTGGATCATAGCCAAGGAATAAATGCCTGGAACCACCTGTTCTGGTGGAGGCCTCTAACTCCTCACCTTCCTGAATGTTGTAGTAGTAGTGCCGCTTGGTGGTCAGTTCTGTGGGGCTGTTCTGGAAGTCATTCTTGAAGGCTCACCTAGATTCCCACCCTTTTGGCTCTTACAACTACTTTTATAAGCACCTAATTCTCTGTATTATATCCTTTTCTGCTTAAAATAGCTAGGCTTCTATTACCTGCAGCTGAACACTGACTGATACAGTGGGCTTATATAATCCTTTCTCAACATTAGATTTTCTAGCCCAGTAGCTCCTCAAAACTAGTTTAACAAATACCAGAGGAGTCTGGTAAAAATAGTATCCAGGGCTCAGTTTTTAGAGATTCAGATCAAGTAAGTAAGAATCTGAATTTTGTAAAAGATGGTCCTCATCTTCAAGGATTTCACAGTCATTCCAGTATCTTCAGTATCTTTTCTCTTTTGATATTTATATCAGCACTTTTTACCATCCTTTCCCCATTCTTACTTCTAGACTTTCCCGAGGTACTTTCCCACCTTCCTTGATGATTTCCACATTCGATTCACAGGTGCCCTTTCCACTCCTTTACCTCTATTGTGATGAAATGACTCATTATGCTAATGACTCATCAAACACACTAGACTCAGGGTTTCTTTCCTTCAGTTCTAACATATTCCACTTGTCCAGGATTTTGACTTTAAAACCCTCTCTCCGTGTACACCTCTTCTCATCCTTTTACTTCTCCTACTTCCCAACTCACATACTCAGGCTGCTAATATCTTGAGTGTCCTAACTCAACTCTCTTCTCATACTCCATCAGTCACCTTCTAATCTCACTTGCCTTTCTGCCAATCTGGACCCATGCTCAATCAGAGTCAGCTTCTAGCCCAGGGTTTGGGCATTCAACAAATGTTGGTTTAATGAAATTAAATGTCAGTGATGTTCTCATTAGAACAATATCTCAGTTCACTCTGCGGTTCCCTAGCTCAGGGCAGACTACCGAAGCAGCTTTCTCTACTACTACTACCATTTCCAAATTACCAACGAGAAGTTTGAAAAATCTGTGACAGAGAACAAGAGTAACTTTATACAGCCCAACATATGCTTTCAGAAATGACACCTCACTTGAATTACTAATTCCTCTACTTGATTGATAAAATATGACACTATAAGTATGACATATTTACATTTCTGGGGGAATTTAAACAGAAAAGAAACATGAACAGAAGATGCACTGTGTTAAGTCAATTATCTTCAAAATAATATATTTTATTAATCTAAATAGCATTCAAAAATAAACCATAAATGTTTTACCTAAAACGCCTCCCACGCTGCTGGTTCATTTTTGCTCGAGGAGCCACACCATCAACAGCCATAAAGAACACTTTCCTAGGTTTAATAATTCGAAATAACACCTCCAAGTAGTGAAAAATATCAGTAAAGATTTTATCATCTGAAATTCTGAAGTGAACATCATCATCATTAGGATGGGAACACTGATGTATAATTCCATTCATATCCAGGTATAAGTTGTCAAATTCAGGAATCTAAAAAACAAAGAAAAATGATCCAGATCATTATTATAATCAACCATGGATATCTAAGTAGCTGGGAAAAGCAGCTGATAAAAAGCAGGATATAGGGGCATTCTTATTACATAAAAATTGAGTAAACAATCACAGTTGAATAAAGAAAGTACAGAAAAAAAGCAAGAGGAATTGGTAAGATGGAGACACATTATGTGGTTATATAATGCACCAATAGCTTGATCAGATTTACTGTCAGGAAATTATCTACTTATTTAAAATAAGATAGCCCAGGAAAACACTAAATAAAGTGCTTGCTTCATTTGGTACTCCAACATTAGATTCCTTTCTTCCTACTATTTGACATTAACTTCTTAAAGCTTTAATTTCCTCTATAAATGGGTAACACGATGCCCATTTATATCAAAAGCCTGTTTGTACATGGTCATTAAAAGGTTTTACAAATGATTTAAAGTCTTATTTTATATTTGGTTTCACTGAAACAGAATCATTCATATAGTTATATTAATTTAAAAAGCTTAGATTATGCCAAGTAATTTAGGAAACTTTGAAAACTGATTTCTTGTTTTTGATATGTGGATTAAATCATTTCTAAACTTTGCTAACAGGCATCTATTTTTATAAAAAGGCCTTCATGGTTCTGGCTCTCATTTATTTTTCCTCTATTTAAATGCCTGTGAGCAAGTAAGGGGAACACTGCTAAAATAATATACACTAACAAGAAATGGAAATGGGTACAACTTAATAGTTACAATATCTAGTCTAACTAAAGAATTTTAGAGTAGTCTGCCTTACACACAAAGAAATACTTTGAATTTTCAAACATAAAAACATAATGGGCTTTCCTTGTAGAAACTTAAGGAAAATCATCTCTGAAACAATTATTCAACTTTTACCATATGTACAGATCAGGGGGGACTGCTATATTGGAAATTTATTCTGAGAAGTAACAGAAATAACAATACATTTTCCTATTATTGAGAAAATGGGCATGTCTTTGAGTTTTGGGGGTGAAAAGTCTTGGCCTTTGAATCAATGAGCACCACAAAAACATATTTATAAAACACTCATTTATACAGAATTTTACTAAGCACCACAGAAAAAAATTTAAATGCCCTTATTGAGTAATAGGCTCAACTGAAAAGACAACTGTGATCATGAGGTTTTAAAAGTACATTCAAGATTTACTGTTTGTTTCAAGTAATCTGACAACCTCAATCGAAATCTCAATGTGATTTTTTTGAGGGAGTCGGGATTACTTTATAAAATGATTCCAAAGTGTCTCTAGGAGAATAAACATGCCAGGAAGAATATTAAAAGGAAGAGTAATGCAGGAAAATCTGCCCTATATTACATTAAAAAGTATAAAACAGACAGCTTGATTGAACTAAACAGTTTAGGAAGTAGTCCAAGTGTATACAGAAATTTAGTATATAAGAAACATTTCAAATCAATGCAACAAAGGGATGGGGCACCTAGCTAACTATGTGGAAACAAAACAAAACTGTATCTCATCTTATAATATAAATTGCAGAAGAATTAGAAATTTTAATGTGAGAAATGTAAGTAGAAAAATTATATACAAATATTTTGGTAATCTTAGGGTGGGGAAATCCATAAATCATGAACCAAACAGATGGTGGAACTGGCTATCTAAAAATGTATTTTTTAAATCTATAGGGTTAAAAAAAAAGTGCCACAAAGAAGTTCAACTGAAAATGACAAAATACAGGGAAATATTTGCAAATTAGGTAAAGTCAATATTCCTAATATACAAAATTCTCAAATATAAAAAAAAGCAAATTTTAAAAGCATGGAAAATGCAAAGCAATTCAAAAAGTAAGAAACACAAAAGTCTAATAAACATATGAAAAGATGTTCAACATCCCCAAATTTCAAATTAAAATAATATATCATTTTCCCCATCATGTTAGCAAAGATTAGAAAGACTGATGTTACCCACTATTGGCAAGGTTTTGGGGAAATGCATATTTCACATTAAAAGCAATAGCTTATTGCTTAATGCATATTAAAAGCAATAGCTGCCATTTATTAAGCACTTATTAGGTGCCAAACATTGGGCTAAACATTTATATTCATTCTTTCACTTAATTATGATAACAACCATAAAAGAGAAATATTTTGATTTCCCATTTTACAGAAGAGGAAAATCACAAAGCTAAAAAAGAGAGAGAGAGAGCATTTACACACAGTAGTCTGGGATGGGAATATAAATTGGTGTAACTAATATGAAAGTATATATCAATATCTGAAGTGTACATATGTTTGACTCAAGATTTCTGCGATAGAAGTCCGCCCCTTATCCGTGGGGCATACATTCCAAGACCCCCAGTGGAAGCCTGAAACCATGGATAGTACCAAACCCTATATATACACTATGCTTTTTCCTATACATACACACCTGTGATAAAGTTCGATTTATAAATTACGTACAGTAAGAGATTAACAACAATAACTAATAACAAAATAGACCAATTATACTGTAATAAAAGTTACCATAGATCTTAGCAACCTCAGCATACGATTTTTTTTCTTTCTTTATTAAGTTGAGAACTTCCACCTTTTTGCTGAAAGGAAGCACTTTACAGCTTCTCTTTGGCATATCTGAATTGCCAGCATCACTACTCTTGCACTTTGGCGCCATTATTTTATTTATTTATTTTTTTGTGAGGAAGATCAGCCTTGTGCTAACATCTGCCAATCCTCCTCTTTTTTTGCTGAGGAAGACTGGCCCTGGGCTAACATGGTGCCCATCTTCCTCCACTTTATATGGGACACCGCCACAGCACGGATTGCCAAGCAGTGTGTTGGTGCGCGCCCAGGATCTGAACCGGCAAACTCCAGGACACCACAGCAGAGCGTGCGTACTTAACCGCCTGAGCCACCAGGCTGGCCCCCCGGCGCCATTATTAAGTAAAATAAGGGTTACTTGAACACAAGCACTGTGATACCAGACAGTTGATCTGATAACTGAGATAGCGACTAAGTGACTACCCGTTAGGTACCATATACAGTGTGGATCAGAAAGGGATGATTCACCTCCTGGGCAGGAGGGAGCAGGATGGTGAGAGATTTCATCACACTACTCAGAATGGCAAGCAATTTAAAATGTATGAATTGTTTATTTCTGGAATTTCCCATTTAATATTTTCGAAACTCAGTTGACCACGGGTAACCGAAACCATGGAAAGTGAAACCATGGATCAGGGGGGACTGCTATATTGGAAATTTATTCTGAGAAGTAACAGAAATGTGCACAAAGATATAAGTACAAGAACATTCATGGCAGTATTGCTCAGAAAAGATTAAAAAAGAAAACAATCGAATACAATGGAATACTACAGCAATTACAAATTATGATATAGATTCATATATGGCATGGGATAATGTGTATAATACATATGGTCAAGTGACAAAAGTCAGTTATAAAACAGGAGGTATATTATTATCTCATTTATAGAAAATATTTATCTACATGTGTATCTGCATAGAAAGGAATAAGCATTCATACTAAATTGTGGTTAAATATTAACATCTTAGTATCTAATTTTCTCAAAACATTAGTTTCTTTGTTAGAACTTTGTATCCTACTTAGTGTTGTTGCAAAATGTCTTTTACATAAAGACAGTATATATCTGACTGACCATTTAACAGAGCTGTTAACAATTCTTTTTCTCCAGTTCTTTAATACTATTTATCTTAAACAATCCTAAGGTTTTGTTGCTTCGATTCATTTTTTTAATATTCTATGTTTTAAAAATACTAACATACTATGCATATTTTAATAAACTATTTTAATATACAATGTTTTTATATACTATGTACGTTTTAGAGATTATATAATATCCTACAGTTTATAAATTCATTCACTCAATAAATATTTACTGAAGACCTAATATGTTCTAAATTGTGCTAGATGCTAGGAAATACAGTAAATACACTAATACAGCAAATACAGTGAAGGATAAGACAGGTAAGCTCCCTACACAAGAGCAAACACTTTAAAATGGAAATGCTAGCTTACATTCCCCATAATTTGAAAATTTAGGTTTTCATAGTCAAGAAGCAATTTTTAGCAAAATGCATAGACCACTGGTTTTAAAAGTGCAGGCTCTAGCATAACAATGTGAATGCACTTAACACAATTGAACTGTACACTTAAAAATGGTTAAGATGGCAGGGCAGTGTAGCGGTTAAGTTCCCATGTTCCGCTTTGGCGGCCCAGGGGTTCGCTGGTTTGGATCCTGGGCATGGACCTACTCACTGCTCATTGAGCCATACTGTGGCTGTGTCCCACATAGAGGAGCTACAACTCTACAACTATGATACATAACTATGTACTGGGGCTTTGGGGAAAAGAAAAAAAGAAAGAAAGAGAGGACAATTGGCACAGATGTTAGCACAGGGCCAATCTTCCCCCCCCCCCCGAAAAAAAAAGGTTAAGACAGCAAATTTTATCATATAAATTTTACCACAATTTTCATGAAAAAGTGCAGGCTCTAGAGTATGCATTATCAATAGGAACAATATGGCTCCCGAGGGGGCCAAAATTGTTGGGGGGGGGGTGATTTACATAATGAAGCACCCAGTACAAAAAGAGATAGACAGTATAGCTGTGGTATTAAATTTCCATGGGAGGGGGGGAGATTAGGAAAAAAACAAGTCTAAAGAGCCATCTGGAGGAGGGGCAATAATGAAAGAAGAGGTTAAGAAATATTGCTCTAGAGCAATTCTGCTTGGTTTCAAATTCAGCTCCAACATTTACTTTACCAGCAATGTAGTAAAGTACTTCGGGTGAGTAACTCATTCTTTTTGTGACTCAGTTTTCTCAGCAACAAAATGGAGATAATAGTACCAGGATTGCTATGATTAAATAAATGAATGCATGTAAAACACTTAAAACAGTGTCTAGTACATGACAAGTGCTGAACAAATCCTGAGTACTACAGTAGCAGTCTACTGGATTCTAATCATGGAGA